AAATCAAAACAATTCTGAGATACCATCTTGCTCCTGTCGGAATGGCTAAAATCAAAAACACTAATGACAGTTTATGTTGAAGAGGATGTGGAGAAAGGGGATCACTCCTCCAATGCTGGTGGGAGTGCCAACGTGTACAGCCACTTTTGAAATCAGTGTGGCGGTGGGAATCATTCTACCACAAGATCCAGCAATTCCACTCTTAGGCATATACCCAAAATAAGCACATTCATACAACAAGGACATCTGTTCAGCAATTTTCATAGCAGCACTATTTGTAATAGCCAGAAACTGGAAATAGCCTAGATGCCCTTCAAATGAAGAATGGATTGAGAAAATGTGGTACATTTACACAATGGAGTACTACTCAGCGGAAGAAAACAATGGAAGCTTGAAATTTGCAGGAAAATGGATGGAACTAGAAGAGACCATCCTGAGTGAGGTAACCCAGTCACAAAAAGACAAACATGATAGTCCTCACTCATATATGGAATTTAGACATAGAGCAAAGGATTACCAGCCTACAATCCACACCACCAGAGAAGCTAGGAAACAAGGAGGACCCTAAGAGAGACATACATGTTCCCCCAGAGAAGGGGAAAGGGACTAGATCTCCTGAGCTAATGGGGAGAATGGGGGAGGGGAAGAGGGAGCTAGGAGAATGAAAAGGGGAGAAGAGGAAGGAGGAGGAGGGGGACATCAGGGAGCAGGAAGACTGAGTCAGGGGAAGAATAGAGGAGAGCAAGAAAAGAGATACCATAATACAAGGAGTCACTGTAGGTTTAAAGAGAATCAGACACTAGGGAAATGTTCAGAGATCTACAAGGCTTAGCCCAACTAACAATATAAGCAATAGGCTACCTTAAATGCCCTTCTCTGATAATGAGATTGATGACTACCTTATATGCCATCCTAGAGCCTTCATTCAGTAGCTGATGGAAGCAGAAGCAGAGACCCACAGCTAAACACTGAGCTCAACTCCTGGAATCCATTTGCAGAGAGAGAGAAGTCACGAGCAAAGGGGTTAAGAGCAGGCTGGAGAAACCCGAAGAAACAGCTGACCTGAACAAGGAGGACCTCATGGACCCCAGAATGATAGCTGGGAAACCAGCATAGGACTGTTCCAGACCCCTGAATGAGGATGTTAGTTTGGAGGTCTGGCAATCTATGGGGCTTCTAGTACTGGATCAGTATTTATCTCTAGTACACGAATGGACTTTGGTAGCCACTCCACATAGAGGGATATTCTCTCAGTCTAGACACGTGGAGGAGGGTCTAAGCCCTGCTCCAAATGATATGACAGACTTTAAAGATCCCCCATGGAAGGCCTCACCCTCCCTGGGGAGCAGAAAGGGAATGGGATAGGGAGTAGGTGTGGCTGCAGGGGAGGAGGGGAGGGAGAGGGAACTGGGATTGACTGTAAAACAGCTTGTTTTTAATTTAAACTTTTTTAAAAAAGAAAAAAAATTAGGAAAAAAAAACCTGGAGGTGATGATTGATTTCTTTAGCTCTTTTAGATTTACATTTTATTCAGAGATCGATATATAGACACTAAATAGTATAAGCTGGGATGGCATCATGATATTTTGTGTTACAGAGTTATTCTACTGTGGGTAGGTCAATTGGCTATTTGTTACAGTTCTGATGAGAAGAGAAGGAAGGAGGGTGAAGAGACAAATGAATGAGTTTAGGACATTGAGAGTGGTTAATGAAGAACAGGAAGTGGATGGAGGAAGGAAGGTAATTGATTGTGGAGCTGGTTAAACTGGTAGCATTGTAGGCCAAGGACAGCTACCCTAAACAATAAGCAAGGTAGGAAACAACCAAATGAACATCTAGCGGTGGTTGTTACACTAGAAAGCCATAGCGACTGGCTTCCCAAACACTGTTCTCAGAGTACATGGACATACATTTTTTAAAATCACTTCATAGAGTAAGAACCTTAAGTAACATAGCAAACACACTCATATCAGAAACTGATGTAGACGTGTCCCGAATTTGTGATTTCAAGTAAGACTAACAAAGAGAGAAAAATTGACTTAGGACACAAAGAAAATGGAAAAATAACAACACTACCACTCTTTACAAACCATTTGGTAACCTAGGTAATGAAGCTAGTATAACAGGTTTTTATTAAATAATGCATGAAATGGATAATTGTTTAAGTTCTTGTCTATCTGTGTGTACTCAATGCTCTGGAGTGCCTCTTTGATGCTAATAGTATAGCTTTGGTAAATATCCTATCTAGCTGGCTTCTTAAGTACCTATCACTTCCTGTTATCCATTTTCCTATAGGACTCAAGTAGGTGTGCAAGAGCATGACCCAAGCTCTAGAAAGATAAATTTTGGTTCATAGGTGATATTTAGACCTATGGTTTAAAACCTAACTCCTTTTTTTCCCTTTAACTCATACAGATTTTTAAATAACATCCTACAAAAGTTCCTTGTATTATTAAAACTGAAACAACAACAATAAAAGTTCTATCTTGTGATGTTCTTCAGTAGTGTAATAAAAGAAAAAAATGTGAAAAGTTTGTATTGACTGAGTGTTCTACTCAGTTTCTTAAAAATATGTGTTTATAAGTTAATTACCTCAGGTGTTTCATTATAGTGATGGAAAACTGACAAGCACATCTGCAAGCATCAACTTGAATAGAAATAATTTAGAAAGTATGCATGTGGTAAAGTTTCCAAAATAAGGTAGGCATTCAGACAGGTTCTGAAAGGCAATCCTGGGCAGAGGGTACAGTGCAGGTAGGTTTGAAAGGTGTAAGCAAGCTGTTTTGTGGGAGTGGGAACTTATTAATTAGTGTCTGTGCAAACAAATTTGGTAGCAGTATAGAAGACAGATGAAAACTAATTTTACAAAAAAACAAGCTGTTTCTAGAACTGTTTTTTAGATTATTGATATATCCTGATTAAAAAGTATCAGATTTTTTCTTACTAATTTTCTTTGCAGTTTTTGCTGGTATTTAAACAGTATCACAATATAATTCTTTCTATCCTACTCTAAATTTTCTTTCCCCTGTTCTTTTTAACAGCAGCCTCAGAGTTGACCAAGCATATCTTAATCATACTATGATGAACATGTATTGAAAAACTGAACCAGCTTTTGGGCCTCAAGAAGCATACAGTTAGGAGCAAATAAAACTGCTTTTGGAAAGCTACACTCAGATTTATAAAACAAATACTACAGTAATGCTCACACCAAAGGGATTATCGTGTATGAAGTAGAATTCTCATGAATATGTTGTCAAGTCAAATGGGCATTAATTCTAAATTGCAAGCATGTCACTTATAAAGGGCAGGCATAACACTTCTTGGAAATGTTCACAGGTCTACTAGCTCTGCTTTTTGGGTTCTTAGTTCATAATGCTTTATCCCAGTGGTAATAACCCCTCTGGAAAAAATTTCAAGACATCAACTTTGTGTTTCTGAACAGGTAGTTGAATATTAGAGCCAGCTTGGGAACATTCAAAGGTTCTAGTGTTCCAAATTCTATCCCCACATATTTCTGATTTATTTTCCTTAGGAAATAAATGAGATTTTAAGAACTTTTTATTAAATTATAATTGCATTTTAGAAAGGCACATGCAAATATATGTGAACTGAAGAGAAACTAGTTATCATTAAGTTAAACAATTGAAATTTATAAATCTCATTGTAATATGGAAGATGAGAAACATTGAGCAGATAACCCATGACATTAGAAAGCAGGCTTCCTTTCCAAAGGTGGTGGAAGTAAGAAGGGAAGTTTCTGATGGTCCCTGGGAGAATGTAACATCTAGTGTTGGGACAGAAGAAAATGGAGTAGCACTAAGAGCTGTCATTTTCTGGAAGTAGCAGAGTAGAGGAGCAAGCAAAATGGCTAAGAAAGAATGCAGTGTTAGGGAACGGAGGAGTAGATCAGGATTGCTGGAGTATGAGAGAGTTGGAGCAGAGCAACCTAAGGTGTAAATTGGCAGAAAGAGCCACACACACACCACAACAGTAAATCATTTCTTTTATAGAGTAAGGTAAATTTAATCTGCATCCTTGTGCTTTTATGACCCTAGACATTAGCAATTCACAACTACCTATTTAACAACACCAGAAATGTCATAGTTGATATAATATAACATATGGTCTGTTACATTCACTTGATAATATTTTAGGTGGTTTTAAAGTTTTCATTTATTAATTCTGAATAAATTACATCAAATAATTCTCAACACTTAAAGCTGTTAAATAATTCTCTTTTATGTAAGGATTATCTGCTCCTTAAACTATGGGAAATATTTTTAGATCTTCCAGTAGCATAAGAAGGAAGTGAAAATCATTATCAGAAGCAAAGATAAGCTTTTATTTCAGGTGTATATGCACTCAGAATATAAAATTCATCATAATATAAATAATTATCCCTGTCATTTAAAATGATAATTATCTCATTTACATGTCTATGACTTTTAAAATACATCATACTACTTCAATAAATTACCTTCTGGATCGTATCAGTGTCTCTTCAAGAAAATGAAGTTAAATCTTCGCAGTAACCAGCAGCTTAATTTTCATTAGGCCAGCTATTTGATAATTAGTCTTGAATCATAAATCAAACCCCAACTCTTGTAGTTTCTTAATTGAAAATTATTGTTTCTTGGCTTTCTCGTTAAAAGTGCAGCAAGTGTGAGTGTGATTGATGTAGAATCTGGTGCACACAGTTTGAGACAGTCAGAGCTTGATAGATCATTGCCCAGAAGGGACTTGTAATGGTGGATGGTCAGGAATCTCCAAACTTAAGATGTGTTCATAAAAGTCCAAGTGCAGAGGGAACCCTGATATACTAAATTCATCTAGCACTGACCGCCTTTGTCTTTGTTATTCAGTTAGAATCTATTTGTATATACCAGTGACTTCAGGGATATAAATTATTGAAAAAATCCTCAACATTTTGTTTGATGCAAAAATATGAAAATATTTCTTACTAATGTCATGAACTAATATCAAATTTGTTGATATTTTAGATCGATGTGAAAATATTGACTCTCAACACTCTATTCATCTGACAGCTAATCCAAGAGAACAGATGGCTACCCCAAGTATTGCCCCAGTCTTAAAATTGTTTCAAACATGATACTGATGAGGCCAAATAAAAGACTTTGCAAGTAATAAGGAAAATATTGCTTCATTGAGTGGCTGCAGCTTGTTGCCATTTTTCTTTTGACAGTCTAGGAGGGTTTGTGGAGAACTCTGGTCATGTTTGCAGTTCTTTAGTTCAGAACAGCCACAGGGTTTTCCAGCATTCATTTCTTGTTTCCTAGTGACTTGGCAGCCAGGACCTGATGAGGGACACAGCAGGGAGTACTGGAAAATGCACCATAAATTTCAATGTGTGAAGTCAAAAGAGCTTAAAAATATCTGGGCACAAGAACCATGGTTAGAGTTTGAAAATCCTTTGGACAAATATACCCTGAAATAATTACTGCATTTTACCAGTTCTATGAATAAAGTGGAGTCAGCGCTTGGAGGCCCTTGCCAATAGTTCACAAACACTAAAGGCGATATTATTTCATCCAGAATAATCACACTATTATTATGTGCTTTAGTTATATAAAACTTTCTCCATGGCACATTAAATGACTTTGGTTTATTTTATGAAAGTTATTTAACTGAAGATTTTTCTTGATAAATTATGGCCTGAAAATAAAATAAGAATTACCTATAATACTTATGGAGATGTGATACCTAGCTAGAAATTATGCCATAGAATTTAAGATATCACAAAGAAAAAATATTATCAAAAATGATTTTTTAAGATTTTATTAATATATTATGTATATAACATTCTGCTTCCACGTATATCTGTACACCAGAAGAGGGCATTTTTATGTATCCATTTTCTAAACATTTTAGATAGGTTATCTTATCTTTAAAGTTATTGGAATTGTAATTTAACTCCAATATTACTCTTTATTTTAACATTCATATTTTGAGAAAAATTTGTACACGAGGCTAACTCATCATTCCTGATTCCTGGGTTTTGATATAGGGGAACTAATTAAAATCCATATTCATTTGCATACAGCTGTGTAAGTACTTGTGGGCAGGCTCATGAACTACCTTCTTGCAAACATGATTCTATGAGCAGCTGTGGACTTTTTGGCCAACACAGTGTTTTTAAATTTCTGAAAATTGTCAACATTTAGAAATCCAGAAATAGTACACTAAAATCTGGATTTATGACTTACTTTTGGAAACAGAAAATGACAAGTTAGTTTTGAAAAAATGTATTTATAATTTAACAGCAGATTCCCTTTTAAAATACAATTAATTTTTATTGAACAATCTATAAGAAAAAAACTTTAAAGGTGATACTGAAATACAAGTCTTTAGATGCACTTCCAAGTTTCACTTTGGAAATGTCAGGCTGATTTATGTTCTTTCAAGAGAATGCAGAACCAAATGGCTTTTCTCTCTTCAGGAGAAAATATGCTCCTGAAGAAGCAGGCACAGCTTAGTTTTCCTGCTTCTAATGGCGTTGTGTGCTGAAGGTTCCCAGTAATCATCTTCAGACTGTGAGATTTATGCACTTCAGTATTGCAGGTGAGGAAAATTTCATGACTCTTATATACTTCTTTAAAATAATACAAACCCACTAAAACAAGTACAGCATGCTATTTTTTTTATCATTTAAAAAGTATACCTGCCCCTTTTGAGATTATAATATAATTGCAACATTTCCCACTTACCTTTCCTTCTTTCAAATATACGCTTCCTTGCTCTTTCAAATTCATGGATTCTTTTAAAAATTGGTTGTTTACATATATGTATATGTATATGTATATGTATATGTATATGTCCTGCTCAGTATGTATAGTTATCAGGGATAACCGGTGTGTTCTTTCAATGAGAAAGTCTATTTTTCCTGCTTTCAGCATTCCTTAGTTCCCTGTAGTTCTTTGTGTAGGGTTCAGGTCTCCTGGGCCTCCACCACCATTCACTTTAGTATATCTGTTGTTGTCCCTTGTTCAGCTCATGTTTAGGTAACTACACAGGTGTAACTTTATAAATGCAGCTTCTGACATTTGTAGGAGATGTAATCTCTCAGCAACTCTCTGGTTCTTTGGTTCTTAGAACCTTTTGACCTCCTCTTCTGAAATATGACCTGAGCCTTATGTGAGGGAGTTGTTTTGTGGATGTATACATTGGGATTGGAGTCTACATTATAGTCTACAACTCTACATTTTGATTGGTAGTGGTTTTCTGACTGTTGCAAAGAGAAATTTTCTTGATGAGGAGTGAAGACTACACCTAACTGTGAATACTTAGGATGTAGCTGGGGGTTATATTGTTTTAGCCACATGGTGTAGGTTCTCTTCCAAGATGCATAGGTAGTTGGCTATGATTGTAGAACCAGCCATAATTTCTTTCTCGTTGAGCTGATTCTAAGTCGAATTAAAGAGTAAGTTTGTCATTGTGGTTCATAAAAGGCATAAACAGGTGGGTCTGCTGATTGCTTTCCTTCTCTGGAAGACTGCCTGGTGCCTTCTGGTACTATGAAAGCTAAGTCCTTAGGCAGGAGAGTTCACAGATACAGCATCCCTGTCATATATAGAAGACCATATCTCACTTCAGATACCCTGTATTTTGGCTCTTACAGTCTTTATGCTCCTTCTTCTGTGGTATTCTCTCAGACGTTCTCTCAGACATAGGTGTAGGGGTTGTGCTGCATATGTATTAGCTGTGGTTATGCACCTCACAGTCACTTATTCTCTGGATTTCAACCAATTATAGATGTCTGCAATAGTCTTCAACTGTTGACAAAATAATCTTTGATGGCAAGTGAGGGCTACAGTTACCCGTGGTTGTAATGAAAAGTATTTACAATATAGTTAGAAACAATATTTAGGAAAATGCTTTAGATTCTCCTCCTGCATTTTTTATCTCTCCACCTCTGAATATTTGGATAGGTCTACACTACCAGGCATAAATTCCTTCCTATTGAGAGGGCTTTAAGTCCAATTTGACAGATGTTGGTCTCCCAAGACAAAAGTGCCACTATTGCACCATTATGGGTATATTGCTGGTCTAGTCATTGCTGTGGTTCATCGAATTCACATCTGTGTAGGACTTGATTTCCCATCTCCTTTGGCAGCTTTCACTGTACCTTCTGATAATATGAAAGCCATTCCTCAGGGAGGAAGAACCAGATCAATTGCAGCTTGATTCCTCCAAGTCTTGTGTTTGAAGTATGTGGTGTCCTTAGAAGTCTGGTCTTACATGAAGTTTTAGGAAGCAATCAACAGCCATGGAAGTAGTCTACATTGTTTTAGGGAGTCTCTTGAACTTCCTTGTTTAAGAACTTGAGGGGAGGTTTTCCGTGCTTGGCTCTGGGGTTTTTGTTAGATGGTCTATGATTCTTCAGTGAGCATTATCACTCTAAGTAGAAATAATTTAATATATATATACATATATATATATACACTTTATATATATTGTACTTATATATTTATTACATATGTTTTAAATAAACATTAGATAATAAGCTTTCCTATGGCATTTTCAGTCATCTTTGACATTCTATATCCTTCCTCTTTCCCTTCCCCTTCCATATTTCCCTGTCTCCCCATCTCCATACCTAGTACTCCCATATTTTTTCCCTTCGTGAGTACCTGAGTCCTACAATCCCCCTCCCTAGAATATTTTCTCCTCCACCCCCTACCATGGTCCCTTTTGATTTTACTGGTTTTCTGTGGTTATTCCTGGTTATGAACTTACATCTAAAGATTCAGAATTAGAATGGCCAAAAGAGAAAATATTTGGCATTTGTCTTTCTGTGTATGGATGACCTCACTCAGCGTAGAATGTTCTGGTGTCATCAACTCCACCACAAATATCATGATTATATTCTTTGTTTCTTCTTGTTGATTGTTTTGTTTTTGGATAACAGACCAAAAGCAAAAGCAAAGAAATTTAGTTATTTTGATACAGTATCTCACTATGTAGCCCAGGCCGGCTTCAAATTTACAATTACCCTGTGCCTGAATGTTAGGATTACAAGTGTACTGCATCATGTCACCCAGATATTTTATTTCTCTTTCTGAGGCTGGAACTCTTACCCAGAGCCTTACTTTGTAGTCAGAGCCCCTTTCTCAATGGCTTTAAAAATATCTTTCTATTCATTCCTTGTTAATGTCATAATCATCCCTCATTCCTCTCTTTTATCTCCCCAGTGACTTTTTAAAAATATAAATTTTTTGGTTTGTAGCAAAAGGAAATGATAACTTATGACTTGAAGTAGTTTATTTAAGAAAGGCCATTAAATTAGGAGAGTTTAAAGAGCTCAGATGATCTGAACATTTAGGCAACAGTGAAACTTATGTTTCTAAATTTCAGAACAGACAGTAATGATAAAACATATTTCTGGCTATAAATTTGAACAAAACTTGAAGCATGTGAGGATTCTCTTATACACACAAGCACATGCCCATGCGTGTATGTGTGAGTGCACACGTGCACACACAGACACACAGACACACAGACACACACACACAGACACACACACACACACACACACACACACACAATTTATCAATGTTTATAACCAAATTTAATACGACTTGACAATTTAGTGGGTTATTCATTTTCAGCCCAAAACCTTTGCTGGGAGCCTGAAATTTGAAGGCGTAGTTGTTGCATTTAGAAGTATTAGCTACAAATATATCTTGTTGTAAAGTATAAAGTAGGTTGCTGGTGAGATGGGAGCACACATATGAGTCAATACTGAAGAGGACTCGGGGCAAATAGGGTCTATTAGAATTGGCCAAGGTAAAATTAAAAAAAAATATTAGTTAACATAGGAGTGCAATATTCATTATGAAAAGGAGAAAATAAATTTAATCTTATTCTTATGTGTCTATTCCTAGACCTATTTTACTTACCCATATTTATATTCATTTAAGTCAATTTATATAAACATGCTCTCAACAGCCAATAACTTATTTAGTTGATACTATTACTTTAGAAGATGCAGAAACTGAAACATGGCAGAAAAATATTTGACAAGATCATATGACATACCCAGAGTAACATAGTTAGAGTATTTTATTATGTTTCTCTTCTCTAGACAACAGTGCCAATAGCTTCATGTAATGAGAAAAATG